AAATTTGCTCTGTTGAGTAAACTTGTAAATGCATGCATTGTATTGTCATGCCTGTTTGCTTTTAATTAAATCAGCAACATGAACGTAGCTAGCTAGCAGAAATTTAAGCAGCACAGATTTTTATGGTAACTAATTTGTAAGAATTACTTCTATATAAGTTCTCATTTGAGTAGTCTTGTCATTTTTCCTCCCCCCATGCCAGTGGCTCAGTTTGTTTTTAAGTCAGCGTGACTAGTTCACTCCAGAAGTACTTGTAAAATTTGTGCAATTAGGATTGCAGCATAATTTCTGTAGATTTCATTCCACTTCAAGCTGGGAAGGAAATTGATGAATTGCAGTAGCTTGCCAGCATGCTTTTCACCTCTGACCTGGTGTTGCACAAGTGCAACCCAAACTGGTGAACTGAACACTTTCCTCTCTGGCATTATGTGGAGGTGCTGGTGATGGACTCAGGTGGACAAAGTCAGAAGTCACACGACACCAGGTTATAGCCCACCAAGTTTATTTGAACTCAAGCTTTCGGGGCACAGTCCCTTCATTGGGTGCAGTGAGATAGATGAGCACACAGGCAGAGTTTCTTGGCAGAGAGATCTAGGACTGAGAGATCAAAAGATCATACAACTGGTGTGAGTGCAGTGTCAGATAGTAAGTGTCTGCAGGTGGACAAGAGTGTTAGTTTGTCTCCAGCACCACCTTATTTTTAATTTTTTGCGATTATCTCTGTCTCATTTAATAGGATTATAGGTCATCCCTTCGCTGGTTATTCAGCTGTTGACACTTTACTCTCCACCTAACACTCTTGGTTACCTGCAGAGACTTACTATCTGACAGTTCACTCACACCAGTTGTATGACCTTTTCATCTCTCAGCCCTGGATCTCTCCGCCTATAAACTGTGTCTGTGTGCTGTTCTCTCTCACTGCACCCGACCAAAGAATCAGTGTTTTGAAAGCTTGAGTTCAAATAAACCTTTGGACTATAACCTGGTGTTGTGTGACTTCTGCCTTTGTCCCTCTCTGAAAAGAAAAGTGCTCATTTTGGATTGTTTTGGTGTTTAGTGTTTTTAACAGAGTAGTGGGTTGTAATTATTTTTAATCAACCTGTTCAGACATGTTATCTGTCACCTTCAGGACAAATGATGGTTGAACCTAGACTTCCTAGCCTAGAGGTTTTGCCACTACCACTGTACTTCAGTAGTCCTCAGTTGTTATGGGTTGTATGCATACTACTGCATGTAGTTCAGATTAATCAGCATTAAGTTGACTGTCTCACTTGGGGATCACTGAGACCTAGGAATGTCCTACTGTTGTAGTAAACATAAGAAATAGGGACAGGCATGCCATCTTGCCTGAGCTGACTCAGTGAAGTAACTGCTTTTATACCAGCGTCACATTCCTTCCTTGTCCCGTTTTCCCTTGATTTGCCTACGTAGTGAAAAGCCTCTTGGTCTTGGCATTTAATACACTCAACAACTCATCCAAACACCTTTCTCTTGTGTTGAGAAATTCCTCCTTATCTCAATCTTGAACAACCAACCCCTTATCATTAAATTATAGACCTTAATTCTAGTTTCTCCATTCGGGATATGTCTCTGAACAAACACCTTCAAAAGTTTTTACACCTATTAGTTAGATCATCCCAGGTTCTTGTCATTAGTATAACCTCTCCTGAGAATAGGTCTGAAGAACATTGTTGAAACAATTTAGGAGAGTATTTTACTCATTTTTGCATTCCTTTAGTACCGCCAGCTCCCAGCGTTGTTGCTGCTGCTTTTATCCTCATTGGTGTATTTCAATAAGCTGCTAATGATTGTTTGATATTACTTCATAGAGGCAGTCTTTGTGAAACTACTTCATGTTTATCCTTCCTCAGCTGCTGGTCATTCAGCTTTAGTGATATTAAGTGGTAGACTGTGGGTAACACGATTTGGGTCAAGGAGAACGCTTGGAGCTACACAACATCGGTTCTAAAATATGTTATAGAGTCATACAGCAGGGAAACAGACCCTTCGGTCCAACCAGTTGATGCCGAACATGATCCCAAACTAAACTAGTCCCGCCTGCCTGCTCCTGGCCCGTGTCCCCCAACTTTTCCTATTTATGTACATATCCAAATGTCTTTTAAATGTTGTAATTGTACCCACAACCACTACTACTTCAGGAAGTTCATTCCACTTGCAAACCACCTTCTAGGCAAAAAATTTGCCTCTCATATCTTTTTTAAATCTCTCTCTCTCACCTTTTTTAAAAAAAAAATGTCCCCTTCCTAGAGAAAAGACAACAACCATTAACTCTATCTATGTCCCTCATTATTTTATAAACTTCTATAAGGTTGCCTGTCAACCTCCAATGCTCCAGTGAGTAAAGTACCAGCCTTTCTTTCTTAACTCAAACCCTCTGTTCCCAGCAACATCCTGGTAAATCTCCTCTGAACCCTGTCCAGCTTAATAGTATCCTCCCTATAACTGGGTGCCCAGAACTGCGCACAGATCTATCTTTAAGCTTAAAAAAAAGTTAAGATTCAGCCCTTGGTGACTGTCTTCACATTTTAAAGACTCAAATTGCATACTAGAAGGAGAGGGGAACGTAGCTGCTAATAAGGGTGAGTAAATTGAGGTAATTAGCATCAGAAGACAAAATGTACTGTAGGACCCTTAGACTGTGGAACGGATTCCAGAGATTAGAAGTTAGAACATCCCTGAAATAAAAATGTTTAACAAACAGGTTTAACATAAAGTGCTGAAATTTTTTCTGAAAAGGCAGGTCCAAGTTTACATGGCATGGAATTGAGTATGGATCCTAGGATGTGGTGAGAACAGCAAATGAAGGAGTGTTGAATGCCCAGAAGGTACCTGTAGTTACAGGTAGATCTGCAAAGTGGTATCTCAGTTGGAATCGACAGGGAATAAGTAAGAGCCAGATGAAGGAGTTGTGGCAATTTGTAGGTTTTGGATATGTCAAGCACAGAGAAAGAAATAGAAATAGAAATAAAGATGAACAACATAAAAAGTCAAATGGAAGTCTCATCAGATAAATCAGAACTTCTTCAATGTTGGCATTCCTGAGCTAAGCCCCAGAAATAATCCCAATTCCTGCTTTTTGCAACTATAATTGCATATAGTGTCATTTTCCAGCCATTTGAGCGGGCAGCATATTCTGTCACCATGTATAAGAGATCACAGTAAGTTGTGGCTGTTTTTGTTGAGGCTACAATTGTTAACTGATGATTTTCTGTATGTACTTCAAAGTCTGCAGAGTCCTGCTCGGCTAAACAGTGATAGCTTGTTCATACTGTTCAGTGAGATTGTAACTAGTGACCACAGATTAAACACAGGTTAGAATAATTAAAGGGAATTTTCGAATAATGTATATTAAGTTTGAGACACACGGAAAACTTTCTCAGAAGCTGCTATTGAAGTAGAACATTTAACGTGGATTACTTTTGAAGATGAGAATTTTGTGGGGAATGTGGAGTTAAGTAGGAGCATGGGATTAGCTACATGCCAGGCTAGTGGAGAAAATCACCCTCAGACTTGATTGATTAAATCACTTTTTGGTGCTGGGTGATTACATTCTAACTGCGGATTGATTTTGTGATGAAAAGTAGGCGAGCATTTGCACAAGTGTATTTTTGTCACCAAATTATCATTTGGTAATGCCAGTTCATGGAAGTATTTTTTCCTATTTGCAGGTTTTGTGGTGACTTTCTTTTAATTTGGGTCGAGACAGGAAACAATTTTTTAAAAAAAAAAACAAATCATGAATTCATTTTTTTCATAGTTTCGTTCATGAAATTAAGCAGAAGGTATGAATTTTCAGTGCTTTATGCTATCTGGTGGAAGCGGGTGGAGAGGCTGTGGTTTACTTGGGTTAAAAGCAGTTGGATGGGTTGATAATGAAATGTACAATTTTTTTTTAAAAGAAAAAAGAATCATTTGAAGGAAGTTTAACAAATGCTGAAAATATGTAGCGGGTCTGTCAGCATCTAAATAGGAAAGACAGTTCAACGTTTTCACCGGCACTAAGTGTAATCTGAATCTCTCCTCCAGGGCTCCATGAAAGGTGGAAACAATGACACGTGGATAAATCCTCTCTCTACGCAATTTTCCAAAATGGGATTACTGGTAAGAACAGCTTTACTAAACACTGGAGAACCAATGTACCTGATTTGCCACTTAAATTTATCACATTAAGCCTGCTGCTGACTAACCTTATTACTGTAAGCCTTGTGACAAAAAGGTGTACTCTTGTGACTGACATGTGCCTTGCTTGTAATGCAGTGCAAGAATAGGCACTCAGTCCTTTCAGCATGCTCCACCATTCAAAAGATTATGGCTGATTTTGACTTTTAACCTCACCTCTACATTCCTGTATAATCTCCAAGAATCTACCTACCTCTGCCTTAAGAAAAAAAGAAAAATTTTGCATCCATTACCTTTTGAGGAAGGGAGTTCCAAAGGCACTCCGGTCCTGAGAGAAAAAAATACTTCCTCATCTCTGTTTTAATTGGGTGCCTCCTGATGTTGAAACTGACCCCTAGTTCTAGATTGCCCCACAAGAGGGAAATGTGTTTCAATATCCTACTGATCAGACCCCATCAGGATCTTGTATGTTTCGACTAAGTCACCTCTGACTTGTCTAAACTCCAGAGGATACAGGCCCAGCCTGTCTAGCATTCCTCATAAGATAATCTGCTCATTCCAGGTATTAGTTTAGTAAACCTTGTCTGAACTGCTTCCAGTGCATTAACATCCTTTCCTAAGTACAGTGACCAGTACTGTACACAGTACTCCAGATGCAGTCTCACCATTATAAACTTAGCTGTCACTAAGCCATTAGAAGCGAGTATGAGAATACACTTCATGTTTATTTCCTTTTGGAAAAAATTAAGGCATGTTGATAATATGTACTGTTCTTAGTGGATATATTTATCTCCATACTAGCAATATACAGAAGATGTTATAGGATTTAAAATTTTATATACTTTGTGATTGCTGTACATATGTTGTCTTTATTATTGTCACCACCAACATTAAACCTATGCCCTTCAAAACCTTTATCCCAATGTTATACATCACAAAATGCTCGATCAGGTACGTAAAGAATCAATAATTATGCAGTTTAAAAATGAAAAAAGTGAATTGATGTTGAGGGTTTACATTGTAGTTAATTTCATTGTTCTATACCACCATCAACTTTATGTTTTGTCACAAGAGACTTAGAGTAATGAGGGTAAATGTGACATTAAAACTGCAGACCACACTATGATTATTGTGTTGCAGCAAGTTACATTGGGTGATATATATTGATTCTTTAAATCTCAAGACAGATGATTTGTTATCTTTAAAAGTAAAGTTAACTACAAAAAGTTATCTTACTACTGTGTTTTGCTGATTTCTTAAGAACAATAGTAAAATGGCAGTATTAACTTTGGAGATCAGTTATTTGTTATATGAAGTGAACTTTGAAGTGTAGCGACTAGTTATAATTTTCAGCATTTGAGTTTGGTGGAGTAAGAGGGTAATTGAGAGTAATTGAGAACAAAAGCACTGCGGACCTAAGTCAGAAGTCACACAACGCCAGGGTACACTCCAACAGGTTTATTTGAAATCACAAGCTTTCAGAGTATAGCCCCTCTGTCAGGCTGCTCCAAAAGCTTGTGATTTCACATAAACCTGTTGAACTATAACCTTGTGTCGTCTGACTTCTGACTTTGTCCACCTCAGTCCAACACCAGCCCCTCCACAACTGAGGACCTAAGTCAGTGGGGAAGATTTTCAGCAGGAAGTTACTGTGTAAGATGTAATTAGAAGTAGTTGTACACCATTGTGGGGAGGGAAACTGAGAAGTGGGAAACATAAAATCATTGTGGTGTCTGTAGTTTTTATTCTTGTTTTGTGTCTTGAGTATTAATGCAGAATTCTGTTGAGGTTGCTTTTTCTTGTTAAAATGCAGCTTGGCTTTGTTCGGAGTATAGTATTTTGTGGAATAACATTGCTTTTGACTGCTGGTAACCAAGATGGGAAGATAAATTGTCAGTGACTAGAGTTGTCTAGAAAAATCTGCTTTTGGATTTAAAAACAAAAGAAAGTGGATAATGCATGGGTTTGGAGGTGCTTAGGTTGTGATTGAAAGAATTAGAGTAGTGAACTGGCACCACCAAACTCATTTTAATAGTTTACACTTTTAGTTGTTATTTAAAGTTATGTTTCATTCACAGAGGGAGCCTTCAGAAGATGGTGTTGGTAACAAAATGGACTTAACTGTTGGTGAGTGCTAAACAGAAGTTGGATTATTTTGGGCAGCTGATGTGCTTTAAAGTTACTACTTCTAGTAAAATTTCCTTGTGTTCTAATGGTTAAGATACTGAGGATGAGAATCGATGCATATGCCATCTTTCTTCTTCCTCACAGCTCTTGAAAGACTCATTTGCTACTGTTCAATGATACTTCAACCTTTTTCCCTTCAGATGAGATGCCAGACTTGCGATTCAGTGACATTTCTCTAGATCACTGATGTTATGAATATCTTTATTGTAGAAAGTGTATAATCTCATTCTGATTTATCTTTTACACTTCTTATTCCCTCGCATTTCCACATGCACCCAGTTTCCATCAGGGGCTACGGGAATGGCTGAGAAAAACCCAATGGATTTTGCTTAATTAGCTCAACGTTTCAGCTAACACACCTGCAGCCATTCAATTTGGCACACAACATGGAAAAGTGCCCAAGATTTTCTAGTCATGTTGTATATTATATATCAAAAACCAGAAGCCAGCAGTGATCTCTCTTTACCTTTGATATTTCCTTTATACCTATATGCTTTGTAAAACCATGTCAATAAGAAGCTTAGTGACAATCTCAAATACATACATCCATCCATTCAGACAAACTCTCATTTACTCTTAACTGAAAGAACTGGGGTTGCTGTAAATCAGAAACATAAACAGAAAAGCTGAGCAGGTCTGAGGAAGCATCCCAGGACCCGAAACGTTAACTCTGAATTCTCTTCACAGATGCTGCCAGACTTGCTGAGCTTTTCCAGCAACTTCTGTTTTTGTTTCTAATTTACTCTTACTACTTTTTCAGAGGAAGTGCAATTTAAGTGGTTTTTTGACCATCATTAAAACCTGCCTTTTTCTCCTAGTTGGACTATCGGACAAAAAGCTGGAATCTGACAAACGAGGAATGAACATGGATTACAATGGAATGATGAGGAAGGATCGATCAGGATTCCGGCCACCAAATTCCAAAGACTCGCCCACTGCAGACAGTGGACCCTATTTTGAGAAGGTGAGGGCTCTGCTGCTAGCTAGTCATCTGTTTAGTCTAAGCATTCATAGACCGCCTCACTACTTCCTGAAATATCCTAAAGTACTCTTTGAAATGTATTCATTGTTAATGTGTTAAAAGAGCAGCCGTATTATTCACAGAATTGATTTTCAGAGGCTGCAGTGAATAGAAGCCAACATTATCCCTTTCTAGTAAAAAGGACACATACACAAATAATCAGCAGGTCAAGCAACATCTGTGGAGTGAGTAACAGCCTTAGATGTAAGAGGCTTTAAACAAGCATAGAGACAACACGGTGTTGGAATGGGAGGGGGGATAAAAGAGCAGATCTGTCATAGGTTAGAAGGCAGAAGAGAATAAATGACAAGCGAATACACCACCTGCCAGTTCCCCTCCAAGCTATTCGCCATCCTGTCTTAAATGTATCACCATCTGTTTATTGTTGCTGGGCCAAAATCCAGGAGCTCAGTCCTGAGCAGCATTATGGGTGTACCTACATTTTAATGGATTGCTGTGGTTCAAGAAGGCAGCTCACCACCACCACCTCAAAGGCAACTAAGGATGGGCAATAAATGTTGGCCTAGTCAATGAGGCCTACATCACATGAATTTTTCAAAAACGCAAGAGGTTGATAATGAGATGTTTATCTGAAATAGCCAGCCAATTAATAATTTGTTTTGTCTTTTATTACTACTTTCTAGTAGTAGTTGAGAGAGGGGATATTGACCAGAAAAACAACATCATTGCTGATCAGATCATTCTGAGAGATCTTTAATATTTACCTGAGCCCTATTGGAACAGAGACACAGCATTAAAAAGGAAGCAGTGCAGCATCTCAATTAGAACTTTAGTAGTTAATCTAGTTTACCTCTTGAGTCCATAGCGCTCTTGACTCAGAGGTAGGTACTTACCCACTGAGTCAAATTGATAGAATTTCTTTGTGTTCTATTTAGTGCAACCTTGGTTTTAATCTTAGACAGGATCATTTCCAAACCAGTTTCTGCAAATTTAATTCTAGATTCTGTCCAAAAATGTAAAATCTGGATTATTTTTCAGTTTCTCACCTTCCCTTTCCCCCCATCTTGTTAAAATTGAGTTCGTGATCTGATCAGTTCTAACCAAATAGTTAAATGTTCTCCTACCAGCATTTTTCTAAATATTGCAAGCAGATTGCACAAATTTACTAAGATTATCAATAAGGTTTTTTTAATCATTTGGGTTTAGCTCTGTCCCTAATTGTTTCGTTAAACGGTGGCATATTCAGGCAGTACTGAATTCTATTCGGGTATATACTTTGGGTAAACTAAGACTGTTATGCATGTGATAATTATGTACTTGTATGATCCTTTTATAGCCTGTCTGCTAAATATTAGTGCTTCATTGCTGCTCTGTAATATGTAGGTCTGAGTTAATGACATTGGAAAGGTTCATTTTGTGGAATATTGGATTATTGCTGTAATGAGGAAAATAAGGATCCTGCATTGGTCCAGAATTCATGAACACTTCATGATTTCTGTACCCAGTTGATATGTACATAAAAGTTTGATTTAAGGCACTAATTATGTGTGAGATGCCTAACTGCTTTCTCTTCTCATTTTTGATGTTTCTTCCTGCTCTTCCCACAACTTATCTTTATGCTGTTTTCTTGTCTGTTTTTCCCTCCCTTTTCTCCTCAACTGCATGCTGATTGGCTAACCCTTCTTCAGCTGACTTTGCCTTTCTCCAATCAAGATGGGTGCCTGTCTGATGAGGCACCTAACTCGCCCTTCTCCCCTCCTCCAAGCTGCAAGCTGTCTCCCTCGGGCACTGCTCTACCCACCACCAGCCTCGGCTGCATCGGCTCTGGTCTTAACATGCAAAATCTAAATGCTAGACACGTAAGGGTTGCTTTCTGAATGTGTCTTCCAACTGGGATATTGTGCAATCAATTCCATTCTAAGCAAGCAAATCTAAGTGTCTTTTCCAGCCTGCATGTTGCTATGTAATGCAAAAGGGATTGCACTAATGAGTAAGGTTATCAATAATTTAACAGCAGTTTTAAACTTTAACCACCTCGCCTCTTTTTACACAAGTTAAGCTCTGGTTTTATGTTGTGCTCTCTTTCTTCTCTGAACCAGTTCTGGTGTTTCTATATTACAGCAATGTTAATCATGAGACACCGGAAAAGGTTGAAGTCAACTATTTCAAGATCACTAATTAGAAAAAAAGCCTTAAATATTTATGACAGAAAAACATTTGGTATATTGTCAAGCAGTGCTCAGCACACTTGTACTGTGCCGTTAAATTCTGCCTAGTGACTAGATTTACTGTTTAGAAGGCTAGCTGCAGTTAAACTTTCTTTGCAATAATGCAGAGGTTTAAATCCATGCATTTCTTTCAAGGCTAAATGTCATTCTGGTTTTCCATCCATTTTCATACACCAATTTTGTTAGGTTTACTGAGGGAGTGAGGAATTTCTCCTGTGAGAAGCAAGTTTGCACCTTCAGTTTGCTCCTTTTCCCTATATGGAGGTTCACATTTATAAACTGTTAGAAACTCTATGGCACGACAGCAGTTCTGACACCTGTGTTCTTCTCAGCTGTTTAATATCTCATTCCTGTTACTGCAGCAGAGAGGCTTTCACTGAGGTGACCGTGATGGATTTGTAGAATTTTCATACTACACAAACTTTGCCACAGATAAGAAGCTAGCAATCTGATACCGACTCTTATCTTAGTGGGATGAAACACTGTCTTATAGTCCTTTCACAGGGTGGAATGGGGTAGAGAGAGCGGGGCGTGCAGTATTCTGGCAGCAATTTGAGTAGAGAATACAGTGCAGTATTATCAACCAAAGTAAGTTCTGGCTTTTTGCTGAAGCTTTGGACGTGAGAGGGCCAACAGTAGGAGAGCATGCCCGTCATTTTGGGACTCCCCTGCCAGGCCCCCAGATGGAACGCTCTGCTGGTCCACTGTGGAACAGATCCACCATTGGAAAAGAAGTGAGAAAGCTGATTGATGTATTACTATCAATGCAGAATGGTGATTGATGCATGGTAGATGCAGGCAGCTTTCAAAGCTGAATCACTTGTAGCATTTAGATAACTCTATAAGCAGTCAGTAGACAAATATCAAAGTATGAGCCAATTAGATAGTCCATTGTGGAGACAAGGCAGGTATAATGGACCGAATGGCAATCTGTACTTCCAATTCGGAGAGTCTATAAACCCATGTTTGAGTGCTGCTTCATTGAAGATTGGGTAAATGGAATTTAGCAGTAAAAACCAGTTTCCCTAGTTCTTTAACTACCTTTGATATAGGCTGTTCCTCTTGTATAGTAGAATAGTATGACAATGGGCAAATATCAAAACAAGAGCTGAATTTGGAGACTAGTTACAAAGGTTGCAGCAATGTCTGCATCCTGTGATGACTTCCTTCCTGATTCATTTAAGTAGTTGTGATATGAGATCAATCACTGGGATAAAATCTAATTGCTTTACTGTTTTCGATCTGTTTTTCTTCTCTCTCTCAACTGCACAGAATGGCAATCATGGTTTATTTGGTAGTAGCACAGCACAATCCAGGGGTGTGCATACACCTCAAGTGCAACCCATGAATTCATCCCAGCCTAACCTTCGGGCTCAAGTGCCTCCACAGTTCCTACCCCCTCCTCAGGTATGTAACCCTAGCTTGTCTCTGAGCTTATAGAATCCTTTATGTATCTACTCTTTTGGTATTTTTGTTTAGATGATAGCATGTTGGGAGAAGTAGGGGTTTAAATTTCAAGAGACTAGATAAGCTTTTGAATAGAGATTCTAATCCAACCCAGCTGAATGGGCTACACTTCACAATGGGTGCTTGTTTGTATCATTGGGTTATTGTAACCGGAAATAATTGTTACTTTTTAAACTATTAATTGAATGTAAGAATTGCTAGCCAGGCTATAATTTTTTTCTCCTCCCAGTGCCAGCACTGGCATCCCTCAATTATTAATAGACATTGTCTGCCATAAAGTTAGAATGTGCTCCTTGCTTCCTGATCAGAAAGCATTAGCAGCTGGACTTGTGAGATGCATCCAAAAATGCTGTCGAGGGATCAATCAAGATTAGAAAATTGCAGTGGCAATAACTGCTTTTTAATATATCAATGTGCTAAGTGGATTCTTTGCCTTGACTGTAGGTTCCTGCCTCCATGTTGAAGCATACCGCTCCGAATGGTGCCCTGAACCCAGCCCTATTTAGCCTTGGTCCTCAATTATCCCCTCAACAAATAGCTATGCTCAGTCAACTCCCGCAACTCCCACAGCTGCAGTTGGTAAGTAATGTTCTTCCGGCATGATGTTGCAACATCAAGTAATTGTGTTGATTCGGTTCAGTCTTGATGTGACATGGCTTTTTATGCTGATGAAGATTCTGGAAGGGTGAAAGGTTCTCCATGTTGTTTAAAGCTGTGCAGAGCATCACTGCATTTCAGTTTATGACTTTGTGCAGTTCTGAGTTTTCTGCTTTGGGAGAAGCAATCATACCTTAAGACCATAAGACATAGGAGCAGAAATTAGGCCATTCGGCCCATCGAGTCTTCTCCGCCATTCAGTCATGGCTGATAAGTTCCTCGACCCCATTCTTCTGCTTTCTCCCCATAACCCTCGATCCCCTTGATAATCAAGAACCTATCTATCTCAGTCGTAAATGTACTCAATGACCTGGCCTCCACAGCCTTCATTGGCAGTGAATTCCATAGATTCACCACTCTCTAGCTGTAGAAGTTTCTTACCAAAAGTGTCTCAGCTTTTGCCCATATTCAGTGGTGTTAGAAATATCTAATGCATACAATCTTACTGTGAAGGGTAGTAGATCCAAGAGTAATGAACTTTATGGCCAAATAGCCTGCTCCGTTAAATATTACAAGAGGCAGTTTACTCCATACAAAACTTTTTCCTAAGTTGGACCTTGATGAAAGCATAAAGTATGCAAAGTAAACGTAATTGCTTAAAAGAATCTGTATTTCACTCTAACTTGTTGCCCACTTCACTGGAACTTCTTGTCCATCTACACAGGCTTATCAGCTCTTGATTCAGCAACAACAGCAGCAAGTATTGCAGAACCAACGAAAGCTCTCTGCGGCTGTCCGACAACAGCAAGAGCAGCAGGTATACGATAATCAATAGAAGACTAAGATATCTCCTATCATTGCTACTTGCTATCACTGTTTTTGAGCCAAGAGTGCTGAATGGTCAGATCCACGAATAGCACTGGTATTGCCGGTGCATCATTGCTGCCCTTCAGTTGAACCTTGGAGTGACAGTATTCAGCTGCGTGTGTTAGAACCTGTTGAATTTTATACCCGTGAGTGCAGTTACCTCACTATTGTGGATACCTGTGTTCCCACTCAGGATTGTTTAACAAGCTAGCTGGAAAATGTTAAAACTCTCAAAACAGAAGTGACCTTGATTGATAGCTGGCTGGCTCCAGAGTGTTAGCTCCTGTACCCTTTTTTTGCCAAGCTTAATGAACCTCAATGGACAATTATTTATCAGTATTTTAGTTAGCTTTTTTGACAATGGCCTGAAGTAGTTGCAGAGCAACTTTAATTTGGTAATTTATTTGCTATTTCAGTTAATATGAAAGAGTTAAATAAATATATTTGCACACTGTTGAAATCAAAACTGGATAAATTCAAAGCTGAGTCATTGCTGTATTGTGCTGATTTGAGTGAGGTAGTCGTGTAGGCAACATGAAAACAAAAAATTGCAAATACTGAAAATCTAAATGTTGAATTAAGAAACCAGTTGATTCATCTTTAATCTTTTAATTTATCTGCTCTTTGCTTCATCATGGCCTTACTTACTTACACCAGTGTTTGGCGTTGCACAGCAGTGTGGTGAAGTTTCACTGCCCACATTGATTTCCAGTCTTTTTCTCACATTCCCTGGACACGTGCTGCACAGGAAGGCAGATGATCAACAGAGCGAGCCAACTGCATTTCCCTTTATGCATCTACATGGATGCAAAACAACTTCAAGAGAGGGGATTGAGGCTGGTATCAGCAGCCCTGCCTCCAGGCAGACTCATACACATCTGTCCTTTGCATTACAGTGTGTTTGATAACCCTGCACATTTATCACTGACCCTGCTATGTTCATGAAAATCCTGTTGCTTCATCAAATCCTAGGGAATAGCAGCCTCAATGCATTCTGCTCACTGACAATTAATTTGAGATGGTTTAAAAAGTTTTAATACTGATCTTCCATCTTGAATTTTACTGTTGTGATTCTCTTGCTTGCTGTGGGCCATTCATGGTGAATTTTTTTTTGTATGAATTTTCTTTAATAAAATCTAACTGGGAATTAATTTGTATGTTGGGGAAGCAGTGAAATGGAAACTTTTAAAAATTATTTAGGCGATTATGGCTTGGGCAGGATTTATAGCGCAATCGTACTTGCCCTGGAGAAAGTCGTGACGAGCTGGCGTCGTGAACGATTGCAGTCCATTTGGTGTAGGTAAAGCCAATATCCTGCTAGGAGGGGAGTTCCAGGATTTTGTTCCAACGACACTGAAGGAATGGCAATATATTTCCAATATGGAATCAGATTATGCAAAGTTTTTTTTAAAAAGGTGTTAAATAAGTTTGTGAAAAGCTATTGATCTAGCTTTCAAAAACCCTTTATAAAATGTTTGCCTTTCTTGCCTGAGCTCCCCTCTCCTAAAAATGCCCTTCAGGAACTTGCCTAATTGAATATTCATCTAATCGGAGTTTGGAGAGTGAATATTAACAGGGACTTTTTGTGGGAGCAGTGAGGGATAGAGGGGGAATTATTTTGACCTTTTCTTCAGGCTTTCTCTTGTTTCATATCATAGTATTGGTTTAATAAAACCATAAGACATGGAAACAGAATTGGCCCATTCTGCCCATCAAGTCTCTTTTGCCATTTTATGATATCATGGCTGATCTGATAATCCACAACTCCATTTTCCTCCCTTTTCGCTCATGCCGCGTGATTCTCTAACTAAAAATCTATCTCAGCTTTGAATATATTTAATGACTCAGTCTCTGTCGCATCTACCATATCAAGTCCTCTAAGGATCTTGTATGTTTCAATAACATTGCCTCTTGTTTTTCTATATTCCAGTGAGTACAGGCCCAGTCTACTCAACCTGTTCTCATAAGAACAGTACTTCCATACCTGGTATTAGCCTCATGAACCTTCTCTGGACTGTCTCAAATGCCAATATAACCATCCCTAGATAATGGGCCGAAAACTGTTCACTGTAGCTATTATCTGACTAGTACCTTGTATCGGTTGTGCAAAACCTCCCTACTTTTGTACTCCATTCCCTTTGAAAGGCCAAAATCTCTATTTGCCTTCCCTATTATCAGCTGAATTTGGATGCTAGCTTTTTGTGGTTTGTGGATGAGAACTCCTAAATCCTTTGTTTCATCGTTTTCTGCAGTCTTTCTCCATTTAAGTAATATTCAGCTCCTTGATTCTTGCTGCTGCCAAGGTGCATAATCTCTCATTTCCACATTATATTCCATCTGACCTGTTTTTGACCAATCACGTGTCTGTATCCCTCCTGGAGACTTCGTGTTATCCTCACCAGTTGCCTTCCCAACTATTTTTATGTCATCTGCAAACTTGGCTGCAGTACGTTCACTTTCCTGTCCAATTCATCATATATTGTAAATAACTGTGGCCTCAGCACTGATCCCTGTGACATGTCACTACAGGTGCCATCTTGAAAACTCTCCCCTTTTCCCAACTGTCTTCTATCAGTTATTAAAGCATTTGGCATTCAAGAGTGAAGTTTGGTGAATATACCAAGTTACTCAGAGATGGAAATGTTCAGCTTACCTGTAACACTCATCTGTGTGGTCTTCTTTTTTTTCTTAGCTTGCCCGCATTGTAAGCGCTCTGCAGCAGCAGCAGCAACAACAACAACAACAACACCGACATAACAATACCCCTGGGATGAAACACTCACCGTCACACCCTGGCATACCCAAGCAACACCTGGATAATGTTGTGCCTAATTCTCTTCCCTCTGGCCTTCCAGACTTCCAGACCAAAGGACAACTTCAGCCGGGTTACCCAATGGGTGGGTCCTCTCATCAGGTTGACTTGTTCTTTTTTTTTTCAAATTTACTCTTCACACAAATCATTTATACAGCCCATGGATTTTGGGTCAACAGTATTAAAATGTCTTTTGACTTGCAGGTCTGGGTTCGAATATGAACGTAAGCCAATTAGACGTCAACAGTATTGTAGGAATGAAGGAACCTCAGTCCCAGCAATCTCGGCTCAAGCAGTGGACAACCATGGAGGGCCTCTCACCTGCCACTCCACCGCCAGATCACAACCCCCTCAAAAATGGTAACTGTCCAAAACCAGCATGGGGCTCTGATGTACTGAAAACTGGTGCCATCTTCCTTTCTTCAGTCCGTGTTGAATGAAGACTCTGCTGTACTAACAGTTGTATTTTGATTTTCCTTTGTTTCTTTTCTTTCACCTTTTAATCCTCAAATTTACTGTGCCTTCTGTCTTTCAAATGCTCTAAACCTCAGAGTACTCTATCAGTGACGTTTTAGGAACTAGTTAACTGCAGGCTTCAAGTCGAGTGGTTGTTTGTGTTTTTGATGGGTTTCAGAATATTTGACTGGAATGTGCCTCAATCAGATGAGCCGGGGAATCGAGCTTAATTACATTTTGGGGACTTTTGGGAGCAGGAGAAAATGCTTCACTGCAAATAAGAGAATGTCTAGGGGTGCTATTTTAAACTTGCAAATTTTGAGCAGTGTCAAACACAGTTGTTACATGCCTGATTTTGTACCATGTCAAATTATAATGCTGCTCATTGATTGCATTGCTTTGTGGGGATTTGTTCAGCTTTGTCATGTCTTCCTCTGACCATTTCAGATATATGCGTACACTGGAGATTCACTTGAGCTCTGCTGATCACCCGGCTAAATAATCAGTGTATTAATCTTACACTTTTTTGTGTTTTTCGTAGGTGCTATTTCGAGCAGCATGGCACCGCCAAAGTCTCGAGATAGTTTGCCCTATTATGAAATGATAACTGGTGACTCTTTGGCCAGCCATTCGGGTCCTGCAAGTGATAACTGGTCCACACCTAAGCTCTCAAATGGTTCCAGCAGCTCCAGTTGGCCTCCAGGTCAGAAACTACTCGTACTATGTTTTAAAAAAGTGAAGTTTGGTTTCAGTTGAGAAACTGTTTCTATTCAGCATGACCCGAGTTCAGTGCCTGCCTTGTCTGGGTTCCCCAGTCCTTTACAATTCTAGGGGAACAGTTCCTGAAGGTAAATTATAGCAATACATGAGAAATCAGGCACTTCAATCAGTGCAGTTCTCCTTCAGAACTGGAGTATCAGCCTAAGTAATAGCCATTGCAAGGATCAACAACTCAATAAAGGGGTGAGGTCCTGAAAGCAAATTTGAGAGAGCTAGGAAAGCGATTTAGAAAGGGCCTCAAAGGCTATAATCTCAGGATTATTCCCGGTGCCACATGCTGGTGAGTACAGAACTAGGAGAGGACAGGAAATGGCTGGTGCAGGAGGAAGGGCTTTGATTTCTGAGGCATTGGAACCGGTTTTGGGGTAAGCGTGACCTGTACTAGGAAAATCAAGTTAAGCTGCGGCAGAACTGAGACCGATGCTTTTGGAAATAGTTTACACTGGTTTTGCAGGAAGTTGAGAACCTGACAGGGAATTCAACTAAGAAAGACTGGAAGAAAAGTGTGAAGCAAAAATGAAAGATCATAATTACAGATGTCAGTATGGAAAAGAGTCAAAATGAAAAAGCTAACTAAAAAATAAAAGCACTTTATTGCAAATGCTGCATGTATTCAGATAAAGGTAGATTAATTGATATCACAAATGGAAATACATAAGAAATAGGAGCAGGAGTAGGCCATTCAGCTTTTGTGTTCACTCCGCCATTCACTGTGATCATGATTGATCATCTACTTCAATACTGTTTCATTGTACTACGCTGTATTGCTTGATGTTTTTAATATGTGGAAATCTATTAATCTCAGTCTTGAATATGCTGAACCATTGACACTCCACAGATCCCTGGGATGGAGAATTCCAAAGACTTGCCACTCCGAGTGAAGAAATTCTCTTCATCTGAGATCTGAATGATTTCCTTTATTCTTATTTTTGCCCAGGTGTGTCTCCTGGTTTTAGACTACCCAACCAGGGCAGACATCCTTTCTGTATCTAACCTGTTGATGCCTGTAAGAATTTTGTATATTTGATTGCAATCACCTCTCATTCTCCTAAATCCTAGAATGTAGGTCCAGCCTATTTAATCTTGCTGGACAAAACAATCCATCCATTCCTAATTAGTTTGGTGAATCTTTGTTGCACTCCCTGTGTGACAAATATGGTCTCCTCTTCTATGGAGAGACCATACTGCACATGGGTATGCTGGGTGTGTTCTTACCAGTACTCTATATTATCGTACTAAGCATCTTTACAAAAGAAATTGAATGCAAGAGTAGTAAAAGCCAAAGTACTGGTTGATGTTTTTAATTGCTTGCATGTATCTGTGTTAACTTTGTGACTTGGGGGTCCTTCTTCATGAGTCACATCAACACTTCCCAGTATTCTGTTCCACCTACCAAAGTAGATAATCTCTCATTTCTCCATATTAAATTCCGTCTGCCAAAATTTGCTCATTTACTTAGTCTTTCCAAACTCTCTAAATGCGACTTTGCATCCTCCTTGCAACTCCAGCTACTTTTGTTGTCTGCCAGCTTGGAAATGTTATGTTTGATCACACCATCCAAACCATTGATTTTAAAAAAAGTAGGGAATGGCTGTGGTTTAAACACTGATCCTTGCAGTACCCTACTAATCACAGCTTGCTAAACTGTAAGTAATCAATTTACTCCTGAACTATTTTCTGTCTGTTACTAGTTCTTAATCCATGCTACTGTATTCCCCCGCAACAAAATAATCCCATGTGCTCTAATTTTGTTTACTGATGTCTTCTTGAACTACATCAAAAACTTTCTGAAAATCTAGATAGATCCAACAGCTTCAACCTATCTGTTGTGCTCATTACATCCTCAAAAAAAAACCTTCCAAGTTATGGTGTGGGCTGATGGCCATTACAGGGTTGTGGCTACGGCGTGACTAAAGCTGGAAATTTTTGACAGTATTCGACAGTAAGGAAAGACAGGTGAAAGGAAGTGGGATAGTGCTGTTACTGAAGGATAAGATCAGTACATTTGGTTTTGGAAGATGTTTGATTGGAAGATCAGGATGTAGAATCGTATTGGTTGGAGCTAACAAACAGCGCAGGGAAGCAAGCATTGATAGTTGTTTATGGGACACCAAATAGTAGTAGTAATGTAGGGCATGGTATAAGTCAAGAAACTAGAGGTACATGTAATGAGGGTATTAAGTAGTCATGGGTACGTCAATCTGCATATAGACGGGGTAAACCTAATTTACACTATATCTGGAGGACAAATTCTTGGAATGTACATAAGATGGTTTTCTTGAGCAGTAAATTGAGGAACCAATTAGAAAATGGGCTATTTTAACTCCAATATTGTGCAATGGGGGAAAGGGCTATTTAATAATCTCCACTGTAAAGTCTGGAGTGTGACAGAATACTCTCCACTTGCCTAGATTAGATGCAGCTCCAACAACATTCGAGAAGCTGACTCCATCTATAACAAAGCAGTCTGCTTGACTGACACCACAACCACCAACATTTGCTGCCTCTACCACTTAAACACAATTGTGGCAGAACCTATCATTTACAAGATGCACTGCAGAAATTCAGCCAGGCTCTTTAGACAGCATTTTCCAAACCCACAATTCCTACAACCCAGAGGGGCAACAGGTACTTGGGACCACCACCCGCACCTACAAGTTTCTCTCCAAACTGTTCACCATCCTGAACTGGAACAATATAATTGTTCCTCCAATTTGGTAAACAATATTAAAAGATATGATGGTGTACAGGCTAGAGTCAGCTTTCGAAGAGTTAATGCATGGTTTACAACAAATTCCTATGAAGCATACACCAAACAGGTAAAGGGATCAAACGTGACTAGCAAGAGAAATTAAAGTGTATTAGATCAAAAAAGGAGCTGATATAGTTGCTAAAATGTAATAAGCCTAAGAAAATTGGAGTATTATAAAATTATGCACAGGAAAGCCAAAACTAATAGAGGGCAATTAGAATATGAAAGTAAATAATTGAGAAACCTATAAAAGCTTCAACAGCCCATTTATAGGAATGTGAAGAGGAAAGGATTAGGAAAGGAAAATGTGGGCCATTACAGGTAGAGATAGGCAGAATAAGAAACTGAATAAATTACCACTAGTTTACTGCTGCTTTGCAAATTGGAGAAACTAATGGGACTGAAAGTTGCTAAATCCCCTAGGCCTGATGATTGACATCTTGGAGTACTGAAAGAATGGGCTGTAGAGACAGTAGATGCATTGGTGGCCACCTTCCAAATTTCTGCAACAGTTTCGCACATTAGAAGATAGTAAATGTAACCCCAATATTTGAGAAAGGAGAAAGAGAAAATTTGTAATTACGTATCTATTCTCTAACACTAGCAGTAAGACAAGGTTGGATTCTACTATAAACAGTGATAATTGGACACTTAAAAGGTAGGCTTGGGCATAATCAACATGGATTTATGAAGGCAAAATCATTTTGACAAGTCTGTTGGGAGTTTTTTTCAGCATACAACTAACAGAATGAATAAGGGGAACCAGTAGATGTGGGGTATTTGGATTTTCGGAAGACTTACAATAAGCTCCAAAACAAGAAGTTAGTAAACAAAATTAGGGTATCTGGTGCTGAGGAGAATATACCGACATGAATTGAAAATTGAGTAAGAGACAGAAACCGAAACAGCATGAACAGATCATCCTCAGGTTGGCAGGCTGTGACTGTTGGAGTATATTGTGTCTTTGCTCATGCCCCAGCTGTTCACGGTCTACATCAATGATCTGACTGTGGGGACTAAATGTAATATTTCCAAAATCACTAATGAGACAAACTGAGGATGAATTGCGAGGAGGGTGCAAAGAAAGCTTCAAGGGCATTTAGACCGGCCGAGTGGGCATAAATATGGCAGATGGAACATAATATAGAAAAATGTGAAGTTTTTCACAAGTGCAGAGTATTTCTTAAATGTTGTGAGAGTGGGAAGTGTTCCTTCACAGATGCTGCCAGACCTGCTGAGCTTTTCTTGCAACTTTGTTTTTGTTCCTGATTTACAGCATCCGCAGTTGTTTTAGTTTTTATTTGGGAAGTGTTGAGGTCTGAAGGAACCTCTGTATCCTGTCGATAAGTCACTGAAAGTTAACTTGCAGATGCAGCAAGCAATTAGAAAGGCCATTGGTATTAGAAGAGGATTTGAGTACAGGAGCAAAGATGTCTAGCTGCAATTTTACAGTCTTTGTGAGCTCACACAGGGTATTGGGTACAGTTTTAGTCCTACCTAAGGAAGGATATACCTGCCATAGATGAATTACAATGAACGTTCACTGGATTAATTCCTGGATGGCAGGCTTGCTCTTTAAGCAGAGACTGAGGGGTTGGCCTGAGCAGAGACTTCATTGGAACATATACAGTTCTTACAGGGCTCAACCGGGTAGATATAAAAGGGATATTTCTCCTGACTGGGGCATTTCGGAACAAGGGACACTGTTTTGGAATAAAAAGTATACCATTCAAGACTGAGGTGAGGAATTTCTTCGCTAAGGGCAACGAATCTTTCAAATTATCCCCATATCCCTCAGATATGTTCAGTGTAGGAAGCTGGTGTTAAGTAGATGATCAGTCAAATGCAGCAGATGTGAGGAACCAATGTGAGAAATGTGTTGATGTCAACTTGGTTCCCTTATTTTGATTTCAGAATTCCGCCCTGGGGAACCATGGAAGGGTTTTCAAAACATTGACCCTGAATCAGACCCATATGCGACGCCAGCAAGCATGATAAACAGCTCTGCAGCACCCCCATCCCCGGACTCAGAACACCAACTTCTCAGGGACAGGAGCACAGGTATGTGACTGATTTACCTTCTGTTTTGTGTGTTTTTAGTTTTGCATTGTATTAATTACCAGGAAACTACTTTGAGATCTGATGATCCTTGCATTGTTTCTTTTCATTCAATAATTCCTATTTTGGGGTATATTTTTGGATTCCTAGTGTAGGAATAATTGACCCAGTTGTCCCTTTTTACCAACACCAGAGGTTAGTCAGATAGCACAACTTGTGGCTGTTTTATCCAGAGAAAGAGAAGGGCACTTTCTCTTGTGTGATGCGACTTTGGATCCTTAATGACAGCATGGAGATGATCCTTAATGACAGCACTGAACTTATGTTGAAAGTGGTAATGAAGTACGTTTTTAATTGCGAAATCACCAAGGGCCTGGATGTTGTTCACCTATCCCTGAGAGGACTCCAACATACATTTGGTACTGGCAATAAACTGCAGCTGTAGTGTCATGGCCAAAGAGTCATACAGCACAGAAACAGACCCTTTGGTCCAACTTGTCCACGCTGAGCAGATGCCTTTTAAACGTTGTAATTATACCTGCCTCCACCACTTCCTCTGGCAGCTAGTTCCAAACACACACCACCCACTGAAAAAACAAAGTTTTCCCCCCTCACCTTACATCTATATCCTCTAGTTTTGTACTCCCCTACTCTGGGGGGGGGAAAAAGACCTTGGCTATTCACTCTATCAATGCCCCTCATGATTTTATAAACCTCTGTACGGTCACCCCTCAGCCTTGTCATTGTTAAAGTTGTAATAATTTGTTGCACTTTGTAAAAAACCAATACTACCATTACCTGATTTTGACTTCTTTCACACCCACCACCACCAATGCTTGAAACTGACCACTGAAGCAAGAGTTCAGGTTGATCTGTCTTGTTTGTCACAGGGTCCAGTTCCTCCCTGAACACCTCGCTGCCTTCACCTGGTGCCTGGTCCTATAGTGCCTCAAACAGCTCCTACAGCACCGTGCAGAGCACTTCAGGTAGGGCGTGCATTGAATCATTCACTGCCTGAACTTTGTTTTCTCAGGGCAAAGTGTGTACCTCTATTAACAGTTATGAGAGCAAAACCAAGTTGCTTACTTTAACCACCTTGTGCAATGTGAAGCTTACTGCAGATAATTTTTCCTAAAAGGTAATTAAATTTGCATTTATCAATCACTCTTAAAATATCAAAATGTGATCAATAAAGTTATTAATCTGGTTTCTGAGACAGGTTTGAGCAATCAGTACAAGGTGAACAAAGTAAATAGTATCTCCTTGGTTCAGCTACACAGGGATTTTCTGAGGAGTGGCAATTCTCCTCTCATGATACTAAAAAAGAGGTCCACAGCAAAACCCCTCTGAATTCTCAAATGTAAATGATACTTCTGGGTTGGAGGGGAGGTGGTGGCAAGCATAGGAGAATTGTCCATTAGAATCTTAACTTTCCCAGGTAATTCCCTCTCTGCTTTGTCAGGATTCTGCATAATCCTGATGCCCAGCACCTGCTTATGCTGCAGAAACAGTAATCTGCTCATCAGAAAATGAGGGCCTATGTTCCTTTAATCTTTCTGCCTATCCTCTTCCTTCCCATTTGTTCCTTTTTTCATTCAACTGCTTTGTCTTTCTTCAGTGTTGTGTAGCAATTTCTTGGTTTTACTCAGTCTCAGAAGGCAGTAGAAGTGGCGTCTTTGAATACTTTTTAAGACAAATTTTGATACTACTTCGGCAAAAGAATCAAATGTTATTAAAGACATATATATGTAAGTGTGGAATTTAAACTACAGACAGATTGCCCATGATCTGATGGAATGATGGAGTGGGCTCAAGGGGACTGAATGGTCTTTCTTCTCTTTTGGATGTTGGTACTTATGTTCAGTTAGTTGACTTATTCCTTGCTCTTCTACCTTGTATGATCTAAAACTATACTTGATTTTCACTCATAATCATGGAAAATCTTTAGTAAATACATCATCTACTCTCTAAATAAGTTTCTAAATCACTTTGTTTGAAGGGACCAAAATCAGAACATGTTATCTTGTACCTGAACCTTCAGTGACAAAATCTTTAGCATTGTGTAGTATTTCATGTGTTCAGAGATTCTGTCATAGCCAAATCTCACCCTTTCTTGTTTTTTGTTTTGACTGGGTCTGAACCATATTTTTGCAGCCAAGTTCAATGACTTCAAGTCGACGTGGTCTCCAGATCCAATCGGACATCCCAGGATGTGGAAGAATCAGATGTCATCTAAAAACACTAACCCGCCAACCCGGCCACCACCAGGACTGACCAATCAGAAGCCCCCATCATCTCTATGGGGCAGTGGTGCACCCCGATTCAGCAGAGGGTGGGGTGTGCAGGACTCACGATATGCCCTGAGTATGTACCTTGCTGCTACTCTATCTTTTTCTCTCTTTATGGTGTCCTAAAAAAAAGCATCCCACTCTAATGTTATTATCTTGGCCCCAGTGCATACGTGCCTGGCAGTCAGAATGATGACATGAGTACATCTATGTTGAACCTTTACTGCAGTATTTGAGTTAGTGGTGTGTGACCAGGGATGCTATCTTTTGGAGCACATGTATAACTCTCGGGCGAACTTAAAAGGTGATGTTCGTAAAGAAGCAGAAGATTCCTCAATCAGCACTCCAGAACAATTTTACTGCTTTGCTCATTGATGTTTGTGATATCTTGCTGCATTCAAACTGGCTGTTGCATTTCCACACATAACAGAACTGCACTTTGGAAGTAATTAATTAGCTGGGAAGCACTTTGGGACTGTGTTTTAAAGGTTGAAGAGCACTTTGCAGTATCCTGATGATGATGAAATGCTATAGTTATGTTTTTTCTTAAGTTTAGCATTAACTAATCACAATCCTGATTTACTTCAGTGTCCTTTGGCACTCTTTAATCTTGCTAATGTTTTTCAGTGTCGGCTTTGGCATTCCATATCAAAGAAATTATGAGCTCCCGTCAATTGCTTGACAGTGTCATTGAGTGGCTAGTTCTTTCGTTTCTGAAATAAAACAGCTTTTTGAAACAATTTAATTTTCTCCTTTTCCTCTTTAGGTTCGAACTGGGGTGATGGCAGTTCGGGTGGGTCTGTTCGGGTCAGCTCCTGGCTTGTTCTTCATAATCTCACTCCACAGGTACAAAAATTCTAGAGAATGTTTATTGTTGAGAAGGATATCATGAAGGTGTTTAAAATTCCTCCTGGGTTTGCTGTTCTGCCTGGTTTTGGCAAAGCATAATAGTTAACATTGTCACCTTTGTGTAAACAAATGCGTTTTCATTAAAGGAAAAGAGTAGGAGATTTCTTTACTAATAAACCTCTCCCAATTGCTGATGCATGAAGACAAGCTTGTAGGGAGCATTGTCGTGTAGCATGATGGTTGATTTTCCTAAAAAAGCATAACAAAAGAGAAGCAACATAAATTCAGGACAAGGCAAAGAGAGAGCTGGAGGTGTAGTCTGACAGTGGAGAAATATTTTGGGATTCCCTGAAGTTTGTTCTTAACAGTTAAGTTATACAGCACTGAACTGATAATTCGAAGCTTTCATAATGTGTTGTGCTTGCCTGATATCATCACCAGAGTAGAGTGAAGGCAAAATAAATACTGTGTAATAGTGTGGAAATTGCTTGTCCTAATAATAAAAGCAGTTCATATTGCTAGATTAAAGCATAACTCTTCGTACCAAAAATTTGATATAAATACAGAAGTACGTAAGATATTGTCATCATCAGTCACTCACTACTGAGTATGATTGTCCACCTGGGAAATTCTGTGTCACTGATGATGGGTTCTCTGGGTCCTTGCATGGCTGATGAGCCCAATCCTAGAGTCACATCCTGAGCACACATTTGGCAGGTGTTTCCAGGAAGTGGAATTGGTCCTTGGCCTTGAGCATTGGTATTCCTTTCCCCGGTTCACTTCCACATTTCCTGTTGTGGACGGGTGTTCTCAAAGACTTGTATCCCTTCATGTTGAGAAATGCAGAAGAAACCTGTTGATGTCTGACCAGGAGGCAATTAATGTTTATATTTAAAGAAACCCATTGAGCACCTTCATGACCTTTCTGTCACCAATTGTTTTTATGAAAAATTGCATGAGAAATATGTACTTTAATGATCTATAAAAAAGTGAATGACAAAATAGGTTGCAAAGCAGAAAAGACTTCATTGATAAAAGGTTAGGCCCTATTCAATTGCAGATGAAACCTTATTGTTTGATACCCTTGATCTAAGAAATATTTTAATGATCAAAAACTTTATAGCACTTTTGATGGATTATTTGGTAAATGTCCTGCGCAGTGTGCTACTGAGACCATTGATCTGTCAGGCCACAGCTCATGGCATTTGGCCTCAGCATCTTTTGATTGGAGAAGGAGGTAGAGTGAGGGGGTGGGGAGAAATATAATTTGACAGTGATGTCCCTTAGGTGGAATGGCCTGTAGTAACAATAAAACTAGATGTAAAAGAGTAATCATTTGGATGAAACCAAGTCCAGTCGGACTTGGAGTAAGTGGAAAACAAGCTTTTTTAAAAGTGTTTAAACAAGTTAAACATATTTCTCCTTAGATCGATGGCTCCACCCTGCGAACAATCTGCATGCAGCATGGCCCGCTGATAACATTCCACCTGAACCTGACACACGGCACTGCACTGGTCCGATACAGCACCAAGCAAGAGGCTATCAAGGCCCAGACTGCGCTGCACATGTGAGTTCCTGGCTTTGATATCGTATTGGTTATTCCTTGATGGTTCCCTCCACTTCTGTGCTCCTATCCAACAGCCCTGTTCTCTACTAAATAAAAACCGAAAGAACTGTGGATGCTGTAAATCAGGAACAAAAGCAAAGTTGCTGGAAAAGCTCAGCAGGTCTGGCAGCATCTGTGAAGGAAAAAACAGAGTTAACGTTTCGGGTCCGGTGACCCTTACTCTGTTCTGAGGAAGCGTCACCAGACCCGAAACGTTAACTCTGTTTTTTC